TTGGCAAGATCTGCCCACGTCTGAATATGGAATCGCTCCAATTCATATACCAATCTAGAGATGCCACACTCAAATTTTCTTAGAAACAATTGATCATTAGCTTCTGATCTTGAGCATAAGCTTGCATATTTTGGCAGTACATGCGTAGATGGTTCTTTGGGCATGTGAGTCCCTTATGTTTTCCAAAGTCAGGTACTTTGAATTTTGTGGGATCACTACATCCGGAACTAGACCCATTTCGAGAGCATCAACTTCGAAAGCATCATAAAATTCCACAACCTTCAACCTTTCTTTAAGAGCTTTAAAGTGATTTATCACCATGGGATTTTCAACAACATTAGTAGGGGTAGTTCTTTGAGGTATTTGGTTGATGTCTTCTAAGTCATGTTCTCCATACTGTAGGTCTATGTAATTATCCATATTGTGTGTATTGTTGACTGGAATCTGTAAGGTATGAGATTCCCCTACCTTCGGTGGAGGTGGGACAAATCCTTCAGTATCAACTTGTTGGACCTCTTGCTGAGCCACAGTTAACTTTAGAGGTCCTGACTCTGGTAACCATCTTGGTTGGTGACCGCTCGATGCACCAATAGTATGGGCTACTTCTTCAAAGGCTACCCTTAAGATCTGATCTTGTCTCTCAATGATGTTCTTCAAGGCTAGAAGAACTTGGCTCATGTCTCATTTCATTGAGTCAATTGTATCCTTTCATTGATATAGTTGTCAAAAAGGGGGTGCTTTTTTAACAATGATTTAACTAGAGAATGATTTTTGAAAAATGTGAGCTTTATGTATGAAATTTTGCTAAATGCGATGCTAATGAATGCATGGATGCGTATGAGCATGCCAAATTTTTTTTTAAACTTTTGTCTTATTCACGTCAAATTTCCTTATTCCTTTTTTTTGTACTTTTTTTTCAGGTTTTGCTTTTTTATTGGTGAGTACCTTAAGATAAATACACAAGCAAAATAATGAAACAAAAATACTTTATAGAATAATAACCAATATCCTTGAAATGGGAGATACAATCCAAATACTGAAATAAAAACCGAAGGAGAAATACTGAAAATGGGAAATCAAATCCAGATATTCAATACTAAATCAAATAAAAAAAATCTCCTAACTACGTTTGTGGATCTCTGCCCTAAATCCATCAACCATTTTCCTACAAATCTTGAGGAAATCTTGAACATTTTTCGAGAGAGGAACCATTGTTTCTTCTGCATCTTTTAGGCTCCTTGGAATGTCTTCAATGAGATTGTTGGCTAGGAAGGAAAGCTTTGCGTGCTTGTCTTTTTAGATCCGGTATTCTTTATAGAGGTTCATAACTATCTTCTAATTATCTTCGCCCGACTTTGGCGATCTTCGTATATTGTCCATCCCAATATAATTTTTCAGCCCCCATCTCCGTATAGATTCTTCTTTGTATGAGAAAATTCTTTCGGAGGTCTTCTAACTCGTCATAGAATTGCTCATATTCTTCTATATTTTGGGAGAGAAGATTCTCTACTTCTATCTTTCCAGGGCGTTCCCTCACCTCTGATTGTTGGCTTTCATGGAGACTGGTGGTAAGGAACTGGATTTGGTCCTCCAAATCTAGAGCTCCTTGTGCTAACCCTTAGATGCGGGCTCTCATATTTTCTTCCATTTCCTTTTTTCCTTGTAAAACTTTTTCATACCACCTATTTAGTTTTACAATTTCCCTCGCAGCATTATCCAAATGTTGATTATGGGAATCCAAGTTAAAAGTAGCACTCAATAATCCCTCGTGTTGCACGACCTTTCTGCATCTGTTAATCTTTTGACTCAAGCTCGTGTTGCAACTTTCTTTTCTCCCTATTAAGGTTATGAAGGCTAAGCTCCAGTCGCTTCTTCTCCTTTTGAGCTTGATACAAGGCTTTCTTCAAGTTGTATATCTCTTCTACAGACATAGGAAGAGGATATGGCATGTCATAATTGTACTTAGGATCAACATCAAACGGTATCTTAATAATTTGAAATCTTTATAAAACCCAATGAGCATAGGGTTCCCTTGCTATAGCATTTTTCCTTTCGGCCTTTCTTTTGTTGACCCTACTCCAAGCACGAATGATTTTTCTATGCAGACCAGGGTCATCTATACCCATGTTGTGAAAGATCAATTATTGAAGTTGCTCGTCAGAGGGTTTATCCTCTAATGGATACCCAAGTAGGCTTAAAGCCAAAGCGGGATTATAGTTAATGCAACCACGTGACCCAATTAAAGGAACATTCAGAAAATCTCCACAACTGTAGACAATATCTCTAATGTTCAGCTTTCTTGCATAATATAAAATAGAATCGGCCGTGAGATCCCTTAATTTTTGGGGTCATTTGTCTCTTGTTAGATTTGGCACCATGTACTCTTCTTTATAAAGTTGAGACATGAGTCAAGAATATAGAAGATGGATGCAATAATTCAGCACACCCTTCCCTTTTTCGTAGCGAGTATGAAGAGCATAATAAACTTCGGAAAGTAAAGCAGGAGTTAGATCCACATTTAGCATTTTCACAGCCCAAAACACACTAATAGATGCAGGGTCTATATATTCCAAAGTTCACGAAAATAGAATCACACCAAAGACAAGCAGTCCCAAACAATCAACACAACACTCCCCTTCTTTTTTGTTGGCAAAAATAAGAGCTTGAGCTTCCAAATAGTGTTTTTTAATCCCTCGAACTTCACCCTCTTTTTTGTAAATAGGTGACAAATCAACATAGGGTATCCCTAATCCTCTTTCTAAATCTCTTACATCAACAATCTGTCAAATCCCCACATAAATTTTTCTTTGAGAAAAATTCAAAGTCCTATCTAATTTCTCCAAAGTTGGTGCTAGTTGAAAATTTTGAAAGGTGAGACACCTTAGTGGAGGATCGTAGAATTGAACCAAGGAAGTGATAGCATCCACTTGTACATTTACTTTAGTCAACTCAAGGACACATTCATAGTAGCAAACAAACATCTTCATAGCTTTGTTAGATAGATTCACCTTGATAATTTTTATCTTCGTCATATCTGACTTGACGGCACTAATACAAACCATTTGTTTCCTATTGGTATCCATTTTTAAGATACTTCACGAAAAACCTTTGATTATATTTTTTTCTTAGAAATCCTGTGAATAAGACAACAAAAAAGATGCAAAATAATAAATACTTGAGATGTAAATGCATTTATGCATGAGAGTGTTACATGGTGGTGGGATTTATGAGAGGTATCCTTAGTTGGTAGGTTCCTAGTTTCGGCCTACGGATATTCTACCCTCTCCATAAGGTGGTTTCCTTAAGGGTATCATGGATTACACTAAAGGGAAAAGGCACAAGGGTCTCCCTTAAGCGGAGCCTCGTTGTAGACCGAAACTTTCGTCTCTTACGTCGCACAAGATCTCACCATGAGATTTTGTTTTAGGTTAATACAAAGAGTCATATGTTTCATTCCAAATTCCTACCCCCCAAATATTCTAGCCCCTTGAGAGATATTTCTTTTTAGGAATTTCACTGACTCTAGGCGAAGTTGTCGCAAAAACTCATAGGGATGTTAAATCCCCTTGGCCAATTGGCAGTCCTTCTTTCTAAGGTTTAATACTTTTTTAAAAATTAAAAATCCCACCATAATCAAAATAATATGATAAAAATAAATAAATAAATAAAAATATAAATAAACGAAATATAAATAAATATAGAAACAATAATACCCAAAATAGAAAGAAAACTCTAGCAAACCCTAGACCTAAAAGAAAACCCTCCCCAGCAGAGTCGCCAGCTGTCGTAACCGGCCAAAAATATTGCGAGTCGCCACTATTATTTTTATCCTAAGGGATGGGATTCTAATAGGAAACCCTAATTTATCAGAGGTTCTACGTTCGTGGATCGATTAGACGAAAGAAAGGAGTTAGGCACCCTTCAGCTCCCTTGTTCTCAAAGGGCTACATTATTAGGTCAAGGTTAGATAGGGAATTTCATAACTAGGGTTTCTATAAGTTGAGGAAAAGATTTAGTATTTTAAAAGTTGGGCGGGCCTTGGTTTTTAAGTCGTATGCCTACGTATCTCATTATGAAGAATCAGAGTCCAATTTCATATTTTGAAAGTGTTTAGTTAGTTTTTTTTATGGACCGTGGAAATGTTTGAAATAAACCTTGAACCATGTATGAGTTTAAAAATAGCATAGTCGTAAAATTTGAAATTAAACTAGTAAAAAAAAGTTAGTATTTGATGGGTTAGATGTCTTAGAATGCAAGATGAGAAAATAAATTTCAATGAAAAAAGTTTGATAAATTGAAATAAAATAAATTTAGTATTTTTTTTAGAAAATAATTAATAAACAATTATTTTCTTCTTATTAAAAACATATTAAATATTTTTAATATTAATCCAATAATTTTTTATTAATAATTTTATAATAAAAAATAATATTTTAATTTAATATGCAAAAAAATGATATTAGATATTATATAAACAAAATATAGAAACAAAAACAAAAAATCATTAAAGAAAATAATTAACTAACGCATGGGCTGTAAATAACAAAAATAGGTGGTGTAAATATGAAGGGCTTTAGCCCAGATTTAATCCATACCCAATATGGCGTACGGGGTGCAAATTATAGTTACAACAAGTAAAGGAAAAACTGGGGGGTGCGTTTATGAAGGGCCTTAGGCCCAAGCGAAGGTAGGGAGATCTGTTGGAATCTAGTGTGTGTATTGTATGGGTTTACGATGGACTAGCGAGGAAACCATCATCTGATGGTGACCATGTGACCCCCTGAGGTTAATTCAGGGGCGTTGATCAACAGTATATGGAATGGACGGATGAGATCAAAAGTTGACTAGGTGCACGTAAGATGTGTCGCATCGGATTGTTGTTCAACAACCTAATCATGTGGCATGTACGTGGCCACGTGTTGCAAATCTAACAAAATGGAGGGAGATTATATCACATTTTTTCCTCATGTGTTTTCATTCCAACGAGATTTGCTCTCTCTTCACATACCATTCGCTCTCTCTTCCTCCAAACTCCTCATCTTTCTTCTACCTTTCTCCGTCGAAAACCCAACAACATCCAACCCTTCATCCCAAAACCCAGAACAACTTATAATAGGAAGTGACCTTAAACACCATATACCCTAAATATAACCCTCGAATCACAGCAAAAATCACAACAAAAAAAACCTAAGCTGAGTGCTATCGGGTTACCTCTACGCAGTGATTCTTTGATGTTTGCTTTTCTTTTCCTATTCCTTCGATCTCATCACTGATCTTATTCTTCCTTTCTTAATCGCAGGTATAAAAGGCTAAGAGGACGACATATTCAAGGGTTTGAATGATCTAGAGTTTCAGTTTTGAAACCCAACGAACAAACATTGGCGTCAAGAGTTAGATTCGCGGCCGAAGATGCAAGCAACAGGACTCCATAACTCGTCTACTACTCCTTTTTTTCCTTCTTATTTTTTTCTTCCTTTTTCCATTATAAATTAGGGATTTATATAGGTTAGAAATAGAATTATATTAGGAAATTTTATTGTTGATATGCAGTTATAATTTTAGATTGAAGATTGATTTAGGAATTTGATTCAATTAGTAACTGATTGAGATTTGATTGTAAAATATATTAGGGTTTTGTGATTTTTTGATGTACTTGGACTTGTTTATTGCATGAATTCAATCAATCACTAAAGCATTTTGCAATGTTTGATTTTTATTCTATTTGATTCAACATAAATTTTTGGATCTGGGCTCTAGGGTTTGCTTAGTAAAGAATAAGAATAGTAGCGCCGCTGAATTAGGGTTCCAAGACCCCTTAGTTGACCTTCGGTCAACACAACTTAAAATAAAAATATTAATATTAATAATAAAAATAGTAAAACACCCTTATCAATGGTTGGCCCCAGTCAACTTTCATAACAAAATTTATAATAATACAATTATTTGTAATATATATATATATATATATATATATATATATATATATATATATATATATATATATATTAACAATAACAAAAATAACACAATAATTTATGAGAAAGTTTAAATGATGACTTCGATCAACTTTTTTCTGAGTAATGAGAATATATGAATAAAAATAAAGAATAATAAATTTAGAAGTTGACTCCAATCAACCTCAATAGACCTAACGGGCCTCCAAAAAAAGCTTAATGGGCCCTCCAATTCAATTCAGATTTTTGTGAAACCCACACCCCTTTTATAGTAAAATAATAAACATACACCCCCCTTAAAATTAAAAACTAATGTAAATTTTAGTTAGTAAAAAAAAGATAATAACACCAAAAAAAAGATGATTAGCTATAATTAACCATTAATATTAATTGGGAAAATTTTGGGTATGACAGAGACAACAACATCTTTACCAACCTCTCTTTCCAAAATCAACCTTCTTTGGTACATATATACTTCCATTTTTCACCATACCCTACAAAGATGTTGTTAATTGGAACTTTAGGCACATTAGCATATATCCTTTTTCCCAATAACTTTCTTCACATGAATAATGTTTTGACATTATGTTCGACATCATACTCAGAGTCACTTGAAGATGCTTCTTTCCTTTTCTTAGCAGAAGTAACAACCTTGATCCAATCTTTAGCAGACTCAACAACATCCTTAGAGGGCTTGCTTTTCGACACCATTGGCTCAATTCCAAGAGCCCAATTCTCCCATATATGCTCATTATCATAATTTAGCTTCTACATTGACAATGTCAGTAGATTGAAGCTTCTCCAAATCAGAAATTTCTCTTTCTTAGACACAACTTTTTCTCTTTCAATAAGCATACTATCATTCATGATACCTTCTTTCTCACTAATAACTGATTCCACTTTAGAATTTTTAGGAACCTTGATGTCAGGATTATCAGTTTGGGCCAAGAATGTTATAACATCCGGCACAACATAAGTATCAGGTTTAAGAACAAGAATTTTAGAAAGGGATACATCAACAAAGCCATTAACATCATTCATATTCTCAGAGATGAATTTTCCAATTATTCTAATATTACCCACTACATTTGAAATAACATAATCTTTAGCATAAGTGCCAACATTAGGTTCGACATTGGGAGTTTGAGAAGGACCAAGATAAAATATTATCACAGGGTCAGGTTTCTTAACAGTAACACAAGATTCAACACTCCTAGGAGAAATTTGAATATGGAGTGTAGAAAAGAAAATAATGAACGTTTGTAATGATTGCCCTGGAGTTTCATGCACTACTAGATGGAGGGAAGAGACAATATCATTTACACATCTTCATACCTATAATTGTTGTAACCCATTAACAATATAAACTCCCAGTTCACGCCTATGTTCTTAGCCTTACTAACATCCAAAGTTTTAGTTTATATATCTTCCAATTGCTTCTCAGTGGTCATATGTCCAAGAGACACAATTTTGTCTTCAACAAGATTCCTAATCAAATGATGACTGTCAATATGATATGATCTGCCAAGTTGGATGGGATTCTTGAATATGTTGATAGCACTCAGATTGTCATAATATAATGTCATGACATCTTGCTTGACATCATACTCTCTTAACATATGCTTCATCCAAAATTGTTGAGAAAAACTACTTTTTGTTGTAATATACCCAACCTCAACAGTAGATAATTAACCATAATTTAACTTTTTCCTAAACCAAGAGATGATATTATTCCCAAGAAGAACAATCCTCCAGAAACATTCTATCTATGATCAACATCACTTACCCAGTCTTCATTACAATATCTTGTAGACTCAATGTTGGACTCAATGTATCCCTCATGTTCAGGGTCATCAGTCTGCAGAGATGATGTTCTGACATTATTTTGACACGATTCAATTGTTGAATGATAAATTCATCAACCACATCATTTAGAGATTCTAATTTGACACTCACCACAGACTTTACCTACTTCAACCTTGAGTTTTGACAAACCTTTAATAGTTTATTCATATATGATTTTCTTCATACCTTTGAGATGTAGGTGTCCAAGCTTCTTGTACCATGGCTTCACCTTATCCTTCTTGGTTATTAAACATGTGGAAGAATAGGTAGTTCCTTGAGGTATCCACAAATAACAATTGTATTTGGACCTAATCCCCTTCATCGGAACAACATCTTCCTCATTTATGACCAAACATTCTAATTTTGAAAAGATGATAGTTAAACCTTGATAACTGATAAGTTCCAAGTTGTAGTTACTTTTGTATATAGTTTTGTGGCACTTACCTACTCTTTTTCCTCAACTTGTGTGTTAATTTTTATATATTACGTATATTTGTCTATATTGTATATAATTGCATTTTTGTGTAAATATTGTATCGCTTGATAGTTTGTATGTCTTTTATAGGTATTTGTTGAATGTTTGGAGCATTGAGCAATAAAGTGTCAAAGACACGACTTCAAATATGTGTTTTTGGAATAAAATAATCAGGAAGCCCGCTTAGCGCATCTTGTAGCGCGTTATCAGAAGTTTTCCAGGGGCAGGGGCTGTTTTTCGGAGCCCGCTTAGCCAACTCACCCCGTTTAGCGAGATTTAGGCGGTTTAATGTGTATTTTTAGGTGAAGCTCGCTTAGCGGGGTCAGTTGTTTTTCAGTTTTGTATAAAAATATTCTTTCATAGTTTTAGGGTATGTTTTGGGTGATATTTGTTTCCAATTCAGCATTGAGCATTCCTTGGTAGAGAGAGCTAGAAAACAACAATGGAGCTTACATGTGGATGATTCAGAGGCGGAGTTCTCATCAATCGACGCTGACAATCCATCAGATGTTTGGTTTTACTTCATTTTTTTATCTATGTATTTCTCTATTTGTTAGGTTTTTTTGCACTCTTACTCTGAACATATGTATATTTATCGCTCATGGCGTTGTATAAAACTTTCTTTAGAATTTAATCTTTATGCTTTCCTAGATCTTTTTGCATTTATGTTCGGATTTGTGTTATTGTAAAGATAGACCTCACAAATCTTGATTAGGGAAGGAAATCTATTAGTTTCTAGATTCTAGAGATAGATTTAGAGCTAATAATCACTCGAGTATAGAAGCTTAATGCTTATGTGTTGTTGTTTCGCGCAAGACATCACTGACGCGGGAATACGGTTGTTATCACAACTTTGCATTAGACATAACCTTTGTTGTGGTGCATCTCGTAGGTGTTTCAAAAATGGACACTAATGTGAGAGATACGTGATGATTTTGATGAGTATTGTAGGTTGAGTACAATTGATCGATAGATTAAAGTTTGTGACGAGTAGTTTAAATTCATGCCTTATAAGTTTCTCCTCTCTAAAGAATGAATTTATTTTTTTGTTAATAGTTTTATGTTTCATACTTCAAATCCATTTAACCCAAGCTCAAAAATGCAGAAAGGGTTCAACGACATTCTTTCCCTTGCACTTATCCATATAGAGACGATAAATTTCTCGGAAAAATACTTCCAAATCTTTTATTCCTTGCAACTATACTGCAGTTCGAACAAAATGGAGTCGTTGTCGAGAATTAGTGTTTTGATATTGAATTGAATCGTAATAGTTTCTATGGTTTTGAGCTTTGTATATATATCATATATATTGTATATTTTCACTTGTATATTATTTACTTGTCTATATTTGTGTATATGTTAACATAGTAGTATATTTGTGTTTGTTTTCCACACTTATTTATGTATTTGTTTTTGTCATGTTCAAGTGTGTGTGTATATATGTGTTTTCCATCATGTGTTCAAGTGTTGTTGTAAATTTTCTTGTTTTTAAAAAAGTTGTTTTAAGTGTTTGGTTAGGATACTTGTTTTCTAGTTGCTCGTTGAAGAAAAGCATCAGGTGACTAGACGAAGTTACTAGCTGAGTACAATAAAAAGTGTCGATCTAACGACGTAATATAAGCACTTGTTTGGAGGTACCACAATGATTATAAATTTTGTATATTTTGTAGTTGATATGTGTAGGTGTTATTGGAGTTGTGCATGAGAAATCAGATGCATTTCTGATTTTTCATCATTTTCCTATTGTTGTTAAGCGTGGTCTGCACCCGGTTAGCATGCTCAACAGTTTTGCACCAGTGAATTCTTTTTGTTTCACTCGGCCTCCTTTTCCCACTTCCACCGAGGCTAGTTAAAATAGTAAATAGTAGCATTTTCTAATGTTTTTTTTGTTGTTTGTCGTCCAATTTTGGCCCGTCAATTTGAAGACACATGAGGTGATTTTTCAAGTTTGATCGTTTCAACTTGAGGATGTATGGTATTGATATTTTTGAAAGTGTTTCATGTAAGGTACTCGTTTATCGCTTTCTATAGCATAACATGTTTGAGAAACTTATAATTTGTATAATTATTATATCATTCATTCTTTTACATTATTTGCTTTTGATTGAATCACTTTAGTTCCCGAACCTCCAACTGTGAGAAAGCTTTCCATTATTCATATATGCAAGAGGCCAACATTCTTGTTTTACCTATATTTTATTATGTTTAATATTTTATTTGTGTTGATTGTATGAAAGCGTGAAAAGGATCAAGACACTTTGTTTCATTTTGAGCATAATCACTTGGCCAAATAGCCAATCTACCTTCTGAGTGAGTGAGAATTTGTTATCTCCTTTAAACCTTTTTGTCAATATCCATGTTGCATTTGAACTTGATGCTTGTATATGAGTATTTAGTTCATTTATTTTGAATGGATATTGATTTTTGTTTCTTGAACCCTTAACCACACCTTGTGGTTTGAATTCCTACATTGTCTTAGAAAGTAAGGAGTATTCACACTATGATGTTTGTTTGAATTCAAGTTGGGGAGAAAAATGATTGCTTGTTAATTTGTTGGTTGCTATGAGGTTGAGGAAAAGAAAAAGAAAAGAAAGAAAAAAATGTGGAAAAGAAAAGAAAAAGAAAAGAAAAAAAAGAAAAGAGAGAAAAGCTTTGAAAAAGGAAGTATCAAATAATTGTGCTAAATAAGTTGTGTGATTAGTGTGAAAATTTGATAAAAGAGAAGAAGTGTGATTATAATTTTTGTACTTGAGACTTTGTGGATTGATCAGTCCCTTAAGATTAGACAAGTTTTTGTTTCAATTATCTTTAGAAATTGTCCCTTCTTTCTTAACCAAGCCACATTACAACCTTGAAAAGCCATTGTGATTATTGTTTTTATGTTTTCAATATGAGTTTGTAGATGAATGCATAATTTAGTCTTTTGTTTGCAAGATTGTTGGATAAGTGTCAAGTCCCTCACTTTTGTGTGTTTTTCATCTCTCGGTGAATTTTTACTAGGTGTGATTCATGATTGAGTTTGTTTTGTTTCAGATTGTTTAGCATGATTTTTGTACTTAAGATTTGTTTCGTTTTCATGTTGTCGTTGTAGTGTAGTGGTAAGTTTGTCTTGCTTGTACGATTTTGTATTTGAACCATACATTTATTTTTGTTTTTCAAAACTTGTTGTCCATATTTAATAACTGTGGTCTAGAGTTATTAATTACTTCCCCCCGTCTCACAATAAGTTTCCTCTTTGAGATTTTCATATTTTTAAGATAATGATTAATTAAGTTAATTTTAATGATAAAATGAGTCTTATTTATTAAAATAACTTTATTAATAATAAGTAGTAGAATAATTATATGAATTAAAATATAATAAATAAAAATAAATTAGTAAAAAGAAATAATAAATATCACATTAATATTTTAAATAAACAAATAATTTATGACTAATAAAAAAAAACACTTATTGTAAAAAGGGGGGGAGTATTACTATAAGACATGTAGGTTAAATGAAAGCAATCATGAGTAAAAAGAAGAAAAAGAGACTATGTAATTAACATTATTTATTAATGAAAGGATTGAGATAAGATAATATGTAATAAATGCACACTTCACACCGCATACATATATAGTTACACTTTTTACGGGTTGGAAGTTAGGAGTTATGATTTTCTGAGTGAGTGGGGTTATGAATTATGACTCATGAGGAAGGTGGAGTGGAATGACGAGTAAGAGAACATGCAGGGTCAGTGACAGAGCTATGGTGGAACATACTGCTTTCTGGACATGTTAAGGTCAATGTTACTAGTCTTGCAGTCAATGAACATACATACTTTCACTGGCAACATTGACGGTGGCTGTCAAATGCTATAAGTAGCATGGACCAGTTTTTGAGTTCTCGAAGCAAGGTTTTGGTTTGCATGTAGAGTTGTCAAATGGAGCAGTTATATTCAGCTCGGTTTAGTCCATTATAGAACCACTAAAAAGACTACTGTTGGGTCGATCTATGTTTTTATTAGACTAAGACTGTAAAATACAATGGATTGGACCCTGTTAGGTATTTTATTTTAATATAGTAACATGAACCGACAGATAAGTGACTCAAAACCAAAATTAAATTATTTTTGTCCCAAATTGTGACGTTCAATCCAAGCCAAGCTAAAATTAAATTATTTTTGTCCCAAATTGTGACGTTCAATCCAAGCCAAGCTAAAATACAAACATGATCCTGGCATGATAGTTAAGTCAAATTGACAGGTTAATAGTAAAAAAAAAAAAAATTCAATTTAGAAGTTCGGTTAAATCGGTTTTGAATCAAGAACTCATTCAATTTTAAATAAAATCACAGGTTAGTTTGGATGATTAAAGTGAAAAAACTATTATTTAGACTGAATTAATTTAATTAATTGCAATTCAATTATTATAAAATTTTAAATATTTAAATTATAAATGTAAAATGTCTTTAAAATATTTAAAAAGACACTAGTAAATAGGAGTGTCAAATAAATGCATTAAGACAAAATCATTCAATTCATCCATCAAAGAATTCATTCAATTCATCCACCATATAAAAA